AAAAAATAAAATTTATTATTATTTTTTTTTTAAATAAGGTATGTCTTTACATATTACCTCTGAATTAATTACTTTCGCTGGTATTATTCAAATTTGTAAGTCATTATGGATGAAACAGCTGAAAATGAATAAACATAAATGTCAATGAACCCGTTTGTTTCATTTTTAGGAGTTTCTCATATGAAATGAATAAATTACAAATACATCAGTGTTGTAATATGCTAAATATTTTACCAAAATAATTATGAACCATTTAAGACTATTTACAATGCAACCCATTTGCACAATACACATTCTTTATGAAATATAATTGAAAATATAAACCACCCTAAATAATAATGTTTTTGTTTTGAGTGTGTGTGTGTTTCTTCTTGTGTCATTTTTAAAGGTGAAGTGTGGAATTTGTATTTAAAAAACTAAATTATGAGATTAATATGCAGAGACAACTGACAGTAAAGCATTGATAGCAGATGTGCCAAACTTTTTTAATATGGAGGGCCAAAATTCAGTTTGGCAATACTGTTATTTAAAAAAAAAAAAATCATACAAGATTAATGGTAGTTGTTTCGTTTTGAGTTATATCCCGACAACTAGATAGCAGTCAAACAGTGACAGGAAATACTAGCATAAGGGCACGCCACTAATGTTAGCGTTAATATAGTTCACTGCTAGTAATGGAGGATGAAAGAATTGTTCCAGTTCCCGCCTCGGTATACAAAGCTGAAATGTGGCGTTATTTGAGCTTTTGTGGTAACGTCCACCGCTTGCCGTGTCCAGTCACGTGAAAAGCCTTCGTGCGGGGCGCGGCGGGCGGTAGGGTCGTGGTGGGGGTGTTTTGTGCAGTTGGGGTGGTGCTCGCGACACGGTCTCGGCGATTCCACGCGGAACATAAATACAAAACTGAAAAACCTGTGAAATCCAAGTTGAAATTTTTATTTATTTTATTGCTTCAGAATCCTGCAAGCACTTTATTTTTCATTGATGTTAAGCAGAAGTAATTCTTTTGTTTAGATCATAATGTTGTGACATTGTATGTTACAATTGTAAACTTAAACTGTGACCCTTTAAAGCAGGGTGTAAAAAGATATATGGTCTTTTTACAAAATACATTTTATACATACATTTAATTAAAGGATCCAGCAAGTAGTGTTGTTTTTGGCGGCCTGTTTTAATTTTAGTTTTAGTCTAGTCTTTGTGTGAAGCTATCATTTTAGTTTTTATTAGTTTTAGTCACGTTCATACTCTTTTTAGTCTAGTCAAGTTTTAGTTAACTAAAAGTCTGAGCATTTTAGTCTTATTTTAGTCAGAATTATCCATGACTATTTTCGTCTAGTTTTAGTCGACGAAAACTGATGACATTTTAGTCTAGTTTTAGTAGACGAAAACTGATGACATTTTAGTCTAGTTTTAATTGACGAAAACTGATGACATTTTAGTCTAGTTTTAGTCAACGAAAACTGATGACATTTTAGTCTAGTTTTAATTGACGAAAACTGATGACATTTTAGTCTAGTTTTAGTCAACGAAAACTGATGACATTTTAGTCTAGTTTTAATTGACGAAAACTGATGACATTTTAGTCTAGTTTTAGTCAATGAAAATTGTATTTTAGTCTCTATTTAGTAATGCAATTCTATTTAACCCAGTCAATATAGTATAAGTACCTAATGTTTGTAGTAGGCTATAGACGAAACCAACATTTTATTTTTAGCCAAACCCATTTCAAACAAGGTTATCTTATATTATTGTTACCTTATAGCAGTGGTTCTCCACCTTTTTATATTACGTCAGCAATACAAACCAACCTGATTTATAATATTATAGCCTAAATATTATGATATCTAGTCGATGACATTCATTGAAATAAATAAATAATTCTACTCCCCATAAATAACACCCAATTTTGTGAAATTCGGCTTCGAAAGGAGTAACAGCAAAATCATAAGCGGAGTTTCACTTTTATGCGTGGGGGGGCACCCACTGGCAGACGAGCCATGAGCACTTTTTTATATGTTCTACATTTCATGTATTTATGTAACACATATTCTACATTAAAAAATACATTTAGAATGAACAATAACTGATGTACAAAGAGTAAAAAAAATAAATAATAATAAACATACCTAATGCAGAAAAGCCGCCTCTTTTTCTGAATTGGGCAGATGACCACTATCTTTCACAATTTTCACGTCATAGCTCAGACGCGGGCAGGGTCTCGGGCCTGTTTTAGGCTTCTCCTTATTTATATATTTTAGACATCCATCAATTAGTGATGAAAAAAGATTGTCGCGCTGGTGGAAACAACAGGAGACTGTGCTACCGTGACTCAACAGCGGCTCGACGGTGTTTAGTGTCCAGCAGCAGCAGCATGTATGGTGCGTGCCGTCAGCGGAGCTGAAGAGTTCTGTGTTCAAATGCACGCAATAGGCTTAAGTTTGCCGCAAAGCACCGGCAAAAGTAATTACCATAAATGCATCAGGGGGAAACAGTAAGGAGATATTTGAATTATTTACTAATAAACTAGTGTTTTCTGAGTCGGTGTCACAAGGATGAAGTTGTCGATCCTGACTCGCCATCTCTTCATTAGACGCGCCGATTAGAGAGAAGTGCATCTTTACGGATTATGATCATAATGAAAGAGTTTTTGTTTTTGATTTGTTTTATTTCGTTAAGTAGTAATTTAAAGCTTTCTATAACGGAAGACGCTCTGATTTGAATTTACAACATTTATTTTACCAACCAAACATGTTAGAAGTACACACACATACATTTAAATAAAGACGAACCCCGGCTGGCCGGCCATCGGTCCCTTTCTCTGTGTCAGACTTAACTTTGTTTGGCTTAAGTCTTCTAAAGAGGAAGTGACGTCGACCTGATGCAGCCCCTGAAGTGAGACACGGGAAACAGAAATACTGCAAAAATAATAATAATAACGCGACTAAACGAGACGAAATAAAGTTATAACATTTCGTTTCGTCTCGTTTTGGTCAATGAAAATGAAGAGACATTTTAGCATAGTTTTTATTTTGTAAACCACATTTAGTCTCGTTTTTATTCGTCAACAATATTGCATTATACATTTAATTATCGTCATCGTCACATGACTAGCATTTTCGTTGCGTCTCGTCTCATTTTCGTCACGTGATAAAGGTTTGTTGATGACGATATTTAGTCAAAATTTTCGTTGACGAAAGCAACACTACCTGCAAGCACTTTAATTGTTCCCCCTTTACTCGTACTACACAAAAAGTGGTTCAATAACGTTGAATGTTACAGGGACTGATTATTGCAAATGCAGATCCCACTGTGTTCTGTTTTTTATTTATTTATTTATTGCTAAGGTTTGCATATGGTGGTGTGTTCTTAATGATTTCCTAAAATCATATCCTATTCTTAAAATAAGAAATATCCCAATATATTGCCTTGCTTACATTATCGCAATGTATCGTATCGCAACCCCGGTATCGTGATACGTATCGCATCGCCAGATTCTTGCCAATACACAGCCCTACAATTTACATTTATTTTTGTAAATAAAATTAAAATAATTCCCTTAATCACTGTGGCTCTGTGGTGCTATCGAGACATTTTAAGATGTTTATTCTAGAATCCCGACCAGCCTGACATACAGTAGCAACACTGGCCTAGTCAGTGGCATAAGTCTGTGGAAGCTGTTTGTCCAGCCAATGGGAGATGAGAAGTGTTTGGGAAACCCGTCATTATTTTTGCAATTCCCTTTGGGTAGTACCACAGAAATAACAAACTTGAAGTAAATCTGAGTCTGTAACAAGACTGCATATGCTGACGAATAAGCACACTGAGCACTACAGACCTCACTGCATAGCACAGCCCAGCTGCACCCCCAAGTGGCCAGTGACAAGAACTCAAGCAGAGCGAAGCAATGGTGCAATGCCAGCAGCTGGTGCCCAAAGCCACAGTCTGACACCAAATGACTTCACTACGCTTGGAACCATGTCCATATTACAATATCAATAGAGCATCTTAAAATAGATATTTCTGAAGCTAGAAAGCTCAGAAAACTGAGAGTTCTAAAATACGTTAAAGAAGCAATTCAATCTGTAAATAAAAGTATGAACAGAGGGTTTGGCAGTGGAAGAATTCAGATTCGAATCTGAGAAGTCTAGTTGATTATAGAGCATAATAACAGTCAGGTTTCTGCAGTGAGAAGCCAGTGGATTACAGATGATGCAGAGAGCCTGAGCACAGGAGGGGAAAAGGCAATGAGAGAAGGAACCAACTACAAGAGTACAGTCAGTGCTGAAGAAAGGAAGAGAGACATGGTGATAAACGTTTTTTGATGGACTTTTGAAGGAGGCAAAGTCCAAAAATTTGTACACAACAACCACTTAAAAGTTTGAGGTACTACTATTATTCTATACTATTATCATGAGGTAATACTATTATACCTATTCCTATTCCTCTCATCAATGAATCCTGAAAAAAACTATTACAGTTTCCACAAAAATATTAAGCAGTATAACTGTACTGATACAGATAAGAAATGTTACTTGAACAACAAATAAGCCACCAAATATTAAAATGATTTCTTAAGGATCATGTGACACTAAAGACAGGTGGTTGCTGAAAATTCAGCATTGCCATCAAAAGAATAAATAACATTTTAAAATATATTAAAATAGAAAACAGTTATTTCAAATTGTAATAAAACTACACAATATTATTACTACATGTACTATACTTTTGATTAAGTGAATGCAGCCAGGGTGAGCACAATAAACTTCCTTCAAATTTTTTTTTAAAAAGTAGTGTATGTTCATTTGTTACTATTAGCTGTTGTTCGGTTGTAATAATAATAATAAAAAGAATAATACAAATAATAATGTAGGCATAAATTATTTCCTGTGTTCTATGAAAGAGCACCAAGTTTTGTGAATTCGAATAAACATTCATGACTGCAAGTAACATACGTGTAATACATCCATCCATGTGTTGTTTTGTGTGCGCGTTTGGGTCCTAACCTTGGAATGCGTAATGGAGAGTGTGTCCACCCACACGCGCCAGCCACCCCACTCATACTTAATGGAGTGATAAAGAAGGATGCGAAAGATGGCGTACACCATCTCTGTGATCTTCTGCTCCTCGCTGTTCTTGGGGTTTATAAAGCACAAAGACAGCATCCACTCCTGCCACACCGAGCACTGCAAAAGACTCCTACAGAAAAGAACAAGTTCATAAAAAACCTGTACTCACCATGTAATCACCATAATTAGATGTATTTAAAAACAGATTTAAGTAACAGAGTGTGTGAGTGTGTGTGTGTGAGTGAGTGAGTGAGTGAGTGAGTGAGTGAGTGAGTGAGTGAGTGAGTGAGTGAGAGTGTGAGTGAGTGTGTGTGTGTGTGTGTGTGTGTGTGT